CTTAAAAGCGACTACATGTATAATATGTGACCACCATACAAATGTCGCCTGTACAATTAATTAATACAATGTACATGTGTAGCATGAAGAGACACATACTGCACTGTGCGTGGAGTGGAAATATTCCAGGGCCTTATATAATACACACAAAGAAAATAATGCATGCGTGGCGACTAACCTTAAGACCAAATTGTTGAGGTGTTGTTATTGTTATGTGAAGTACGTCGCACTTGAGTTCATGAGTAACAGTTTGGATACTTTCACAGAATATTTCCACTCCACGCACTGAGCAGTGAAAAAAGGCGAGCGGGTGAACATTGGCTCTTTTTATTTCGATTGTCTAAGCGGGGCATCAGGTGGAGAAACAAACAACTAATTACACAATCGAGGAAACGTGGAGAGGTCTAGGCTGAATGCTTATGCTATTGCTGTTACATGTACCACGATAAATGATAGGAAAGCTACATAACAATAACAATATCATTAATTACACATATTCTAATCTGAGTCGATATCTTATATTTATTTGAGATGAAAGTTCATCGCACGGCGGCCTTCTATAATAATATAGTTGCGAATTTAGCAGAAGTGTCTGTTATATAATTTTAATCACGCTCAGCAGTGATTTTCTCGTAAGCTGTTTCAGGTTATTTAAAACTAGTAAGCTTAATATGGTTAATTTGAAAAAAAAAGCATGTTTCCAACCACACGTAGGTCCTATTAATTAAAACATTGGCTAGTAGCGTACAGCAGAACTTTAACCCAGCAGAATCCTGTCATGGAAAATAATCTTAAGTGTGGCGATGGTGGCGTAAAAACACCCACCTGACATGGACTGCGTATAGAACGCATTTTCCCCCGCTCCGCACAGGTTGGGACCTCAGCCTCACCCCACCCATCAAAGAGAGAGAGGTTTATGTGAGATAGATCACATTTTATTACTATCAGTGCTTCTATTTTCCATTCTTTCATTGTTTGAATATCAGGGGATAGCGCGAACGCAGTCCCCCCTACGAAAAAATTACGCACTCGAGTCACCCACATTTGGGGTGATCGCAGGGGTCAGCCAAACCGGAGTGCAATGGAAAGGCCTCGCCCTGGGAGGACCGCCTAGATGATCATGGTGCCTCCCGTGCCAGGTAAGTATGCCTTTCTTGGAAACAAACTTACATCAAACTGGATTACAACTGTTGTACCTACAGGTTTAAAATTGACTCTATATTGTCTTATTTCATTAACATTATAAACTAACAAACAAAAAAATACATAATTAAAAAAAAAATAAAATTTGTCCGACAACTTTTTGCTTCACTGCCTTAATTTATATTGAACATCATTGCCAAATTGGGTGAATTATTTGTTTTAACCGTTTCTATAAAAATTATTTACAAGGGAGAGCACCACAATTTTGTTTATTTTGTGTTCACTCCCTTTAACAGGGGAAATAATTAGGATAAATATGGCGCGATGTTGAACGTTCAAAACTGGTTACTTCCCCTGATCATCTCGCAAGATATGTATTATTCGAAGACGCATTTTAATATCAATATTCAATGGTCTACAAATGCAAAGAGTTTGCGATACTTTTCTATAGATACTGATCTTAACAAAGGTTATACGAAAATGCCACATTGAAAATTTTTTTTCTTCAGAATTTTGTATGATTTTAGTCAGGTAGATTCTATTTCTGTTTTACTCCATGCAACTCTAAAAAGGTACAAAATTGAAAAGTTACAAGGAAAGTCTGAATTGATGTAAATGGTATTTGTACGGTATACCTACTGATCTTTATAAAACTAAAATTATACAGAAAAACGAAATCATGCAGTAGCAAACATTTGATCGTCATAGCTATAAAGCAATAATATTTCCAACTTACATGGGACATTCATTACAGAAAACAAACAAAGGAAATATGTGGCACAATGTGGCGGAATCAGGCCCTCGTAAATTTTTAGGCATATGGGGTTATTGGTATCATCTTAATGCCTGTTCAGTGGTCTTGCTTTTGCTGAAAAAAATATCCATCTATGTTGCGGAGGTGAGGGTCATCAGGTTTCAGGGGTAAAATTGACGAGAAAATGGCGGCCGAAGTTTACTAACTTCCGTAGCTGAAGAGGCCTTCAAATAAACATTCACATTTTTGTGTGTGCCCCTAATCAGTGTTTTTCAGTAAAATTCAAATGGAAATGTGTTTTTATATGGACATAAAAGAGGATAAGGCAAAAAATAAAAATTTGAAAAAAATGTTCAAATTGGTGGAAAATGCCCGTTTCTCTGATTTCGGTATTTTGACGAGCACCTGATGTCACCACACCGCCTCACATATATAAATTTTAAGTCCCTTTTGTTCCACTTGTTAAAAATTCCCTTTTTATTTTAAACCTGTAACCATAGATCAGTTCAGTAAACTTTTGGGTAAAGAGAACAAATAAATGACACAGATACTTTTGAGATAACAGTTGGGTGATTATGGTAAATGTACCAAATTAAAATGTTTCGTTGAGGTGTTTGTGTTAATTTGCATTTTACACAAACGACTAACTTTCGGTTAGATCAGACTTAAGAACTACAGACTCACTACATGTAGGCTACTAGTACAATGTACTAGGATAAAAATTACTCGGCAGTATAGAAGATTTAAAAAACCCAGAAAATGACTTCATGCATAGAAAAACATAGAGTACTAAACTTTTATTCAATTAGCTTTTCCACATACAAAGGCCGACCAAATAGAAAGAAGGTTTATTATAATTCAAAAAAATTTTCCATTGTGCAGAGTTGGTTCTTACTACTAAGTACTAAGGAGGAGAGAAATGCACGTAAATATATATATATATATGAGGATTCCACAGGAAAAACGGGCATAGTCACAAACTAAAAATTGTGCGGGTGTCAAAGTTAAAAGCTTGCGGACTCATAATTTCATATTTATCTGACTGGTGGTTTATTGTTATGTGTTGTTGAATGGGAAATCTAGCGACAATAATGAACCAACAGTAGAACAGAAATACATGTACAGTTATGAGTAAAAAAACGTTAAAAATTGATGCACCACGATTTTCTGTTTGAGACTACAACCGTATTTCCCGTGGACTCCTCATAAGCCAGAAAACAATACAAACTAATGATGAAGAAGAACTTAAATATCACATATCTCACACAATAATAAATAAACATGAAGCAATGCCTCGATAAACACTGTAAAGTTCTTCAAGAGGTAAGGCAAAAATACATAATGTGTAGGAACAATTATTACAGAAATGAAAGTTTTTTCTCTCTCCAGCAAAATTTTCCTTCCCGAGCTTAGTACATTGTAACAGCCTGCCCACAACTTTCTCCACAGTGCTGCTGTAAAGTAGCGTCACTGGCAAGATGGCAATTTCTCACCTACTGATATCAGATGAGCGATGGATAGAACCACGGTCTGACAGGTTTTTTTTTTTTTTGGTAAATGTTTTACGGCGCTCGCAACTGCATAAGGTCATATGAGTATGAGCGTGTGGGACACATTAAACATTTTCAATTCAGACATATTCTGAGGCTGTATCGAATCAAAGGCACAAAATAATGAATATCTCAAACATGGGTCACTGTATGGGAGAACAATTTTCATTATGGATATTGGAACAATTGCACAAAGTACAAACAAACAAAAAGTTTGTGTAAATACTATCACATGGGCAAGACACAAGAATACGGTACAGAAACAAACCCTTGGTAGCTACAACTTCACAATAGTTGCATAGATAAAGACAGAATCACATACGCAGGGAACAATCAGCAGTAAAGAAACAAACCCTTAGTTGCCACGTCAACAAAATGGATGCATACACAAAGACAGTATCACATTGGCAAGGTACAAAAAAAACCAATTACAAATGCAAATCCTTTCCTGCGATCACTACAAAATGGCTGCATACATAGTGAGGTGTGCTGACAAAAGGAGTTACTCCTCACAATCCACAAATGGAGATAATGACCTAGCATCTGCGTTTGTTGCCATTTTTTTGCCAATAAGTTGCCAAAAGTTGCCACAAAAAGTGGCAAAAGTTGCCGAAAAAGTTGCCATTAATTTTCAAGCTTTCAACCCTCCGTGACTTATTTTTATATAGCAATTTGAAAGAGGTAACAATCTAAAGCACCAGAATTTCTTGTGCTCTATTTTCAGCATCCAGAATATCATTTGTAGTCACCCAGCGTATAAAATCGTGAAAAATAAAGGTTTCACAACAGAATGAAATCAAAATTAGAACAGCACGGATAAATAACCACAAAAATTAACACGCGCTAATTGGGGCGCATCCACCTATCCGAAGATTGGCTGTTTTAACCCTAAAGGTGTGTAATTCAAGAAAAAGTAGGCCTACAGGATATTACATGTAAATTATGGAATCACACACAATTGGGGCGTGTCAGTATTCGGTTTAGGTGGAGACACACTCTAACATAACACATTTATATTTTTAAAAGGGTAGGAACAGCATAAAATTAAATGACATTTTGCTGTATAAACACACACAAAAAAAGAAAAACAAATCTTCAGAACAATTTTTAGAAAAATTAACACACCAACAAATTAAAACACAACAAAGAGGGAAAAATAAAAGACAAACAGCAATATAAATAGTATGTAATGTAATGTACATGTACTTATATTCTCTGCATGAAAATAGATCTAGACACACATGGACATCTTAAAACGTATCAAAACACATGCCTGATATGTTATGAAGTAGCTTTGTTGTTTTGTCTTTTTTGAAAAATGCAAAAATTGCGGCCGCGATTCGAGGACCAAAAAATGGCAAAGCAGGTCGCGGCCGCGACAAAAGCAGATGCTACATTGGCCAAAAATTGTCACTTGGTCAATTTTGTAGATTTTCTATTGATGCCATATACTTTAAGTTAACATGTCTTTTATTATTTCATACTTATAAATTGTAAAAACTTCACCTATACGCGTGATGTACCTAATTTTACAGGGCTCAAATCCGAGGAGTAACTCATTTCGACAGCACGCTTCACAAATATTAAAGACCGTCCCTTGGGTAAGGCACAATAACAGACCTACATTACACAAAAACCCAACTCTTCGTTGCTATGGCTACTATCCCAATGACACTTTCACTTGAAAGGTACAAAAAACAGTAACAGATACAAATCCTTCGTTGCCACGACTACAAAACAGCTGCATACATAATATGATAAAGACAGTATTCGTTGTGTGAGGTACAATTATAGGCCCACAGTACAGAAAAAAAAGCCTTTGAAGCAATAATTACTATCAAAAAGAAACTATAACTTGAGCAAGGCATAAGAAAACAGTATGGAAACAAACTCTTTTTTTTATCACAACTACATGTACACAAAACTGCTGTACATGGACAGAACAACCATTCTTGTTTTTTTTATTGACAGCTGCTCCCTCCGCGAGGAATTCCCTCCCACTGCATTCAGGAGAGGTGCTTGCATTGTCTGCATTTAAAACTAATCTAAAGACACATTTATTTAAACTATACTCTACCAGCTTGTTTGAGTCCGCAATAACATATTATGTGATCAGCAGCCACAGTGATTGTCTGTTAGTGCATGTATTTTTTAGTCAGATAGAGAGTGCATGCATGTATTTGAAAGGATTGTTGCAGATTGAAAGGCCGGTACACATGACACATGCCATTGTGTAAACTGTCAAATTTTGTATTGTCTTTTATTGTGAAACGCCAAGAGCCACCAGGGATTGGCCATGACAGAAATGATCTTAATAATATCATCAATTTTATTATTACACGTATCAAGCAACATCATGACATTAGCACTCCATACCACAACGCACAGGTCAGAGCTTCCTTGTCATAGTTACACAGCTGCAGCAAACAGAAGAAATCGGTTTTGTCTTTCACCGCGTCCAGCACTCGCTTGGCTCTGTCTGTGTGTAGTCGACTCGACACGTGTGACTTGAGCAGCGACGCAATGACACAGCTGGAAGAACCTGCCTGCACACACCGGTGAACGCGCTGGAGGAAACACTGTGGCAGGTCCGCCGAGACTGTGGAGGTGGAAATAGATCTATAGTCTAGACACACACATAACGAAATCATCTGTGGTACACGGATATCTTTTTGCTATGTACAAATTTTGCTAGATCTACGTACATGTTTAAATAAAATACAAAGAATAATAAAATACCTTTTAAAAAACAATTTGGGACCTTATGATCTGGTTGATATGCGAGAGTAGGACGAGTAAATTCCAAACAACTTCTACATTGTAACAATATCTTATGTCCTGTGGCTTTATAAAAATAACCTTATTGAATCATGTTTGTGGTATTTTTTTCTACAGATGTTACAGCTCATATTTAATTAGTTATAATAACAAAACAATTTGAAAGATGGCATTATTAGTACTTGTGTTTGTACAAGAGTGATGGTAAGTGACAGATTAAGTAGATCAAATCTATGAGAAAAATTCTGAGCTAAAAAGAAAAAAAAAAGCTTTAATATTTTTTAGCATACAAAAAATTTGGTTTCCAATAACAATCAGATAAAACAAACAGAGCAATTCAGAAAACAACATCAAAGTGACGAATGTATGGTGGTGGAGTCTTCCGCTAAGCAGTCGATATCTTCAAGTGAGAATCTCAACTACACCCCCCGGGGCGGTGTTACTGACTGAAGTTGTCTTTAGGTCAGTTCCAAAGGGGAGATATTTACATGTTCTTCTGCACAGTAGAATTGTAAATGGGCTGATTCATCAATGTCATGCTCATAACTGTGCCTGAACTGCAACAGGGAACTGCTGCTTTTTCTTTCCTAATCCTTACTATCGTCATTTTTCAGCTACTTCTTTTGAATGTTTGTCATTTTCTTGTGATCTGCTATTTCTGGGGTGCCTTGATAGTCGAAGCAGACTTTGTGCTGTTGAAGCAAGAGAGGTGAGCAGAGTAAGCCTGATTCCCTGTGAAGACTTCTCTGCAGAGATTCACCCCTTGGCGCTCATATGATCTTATGCAGTTGCGAGCGCCGTAAAAACTCTACTAAAACTAAACTAAATCTTAACAACAGATGCAAGCTGGTTCAGTCATGAGTCACCTTTCTGCACTTGGTCTTCTTTCTCCTCACAGACTCCCCTCTTCTTGTCCAGCAGTGTCTGCTGGTGATCCTTCAGAAGATTAAACCGCGGAGCTGCTCTCTGAGTTTAGAATAAAGAAAGAAAAAGAGGGTGATATAATGAAAATAATATACCATTTTAAAACTAACTGTGGAATATTCACTTTGAAAATTTCGATTCTTCCTCTTCAAGGACCAGATCTGAAACAGATGTTGGCTATAGTGGTTCACCTCTCATTTCTCCAAAGCTGAAAAAAAAAACCCAATGTATTTGCTATGTGTAATAATATCTTTTGGAAAAAAAAGGAAGTGTATACTGTCAAGCTAGCACACGACAAGACTGACAGGATGAGAAAATCTTTTTCTTATGTATGAATTTCGAGATGTATATGTTTTAAATACAAAGAATACACATGTTTAAAGAAAAAACAAAAACAACCTGAAATCTGTTCGCTATGAGAGTGTTTTGCCATGTGGGTGGTCACTGTGCCCATGTTAGACTGTATAAAATATAGGATTAATACTTGTTTGTTGGAGTAAGAGTTTTACGGCACTTGCAACACAATAAGGTCATATAAGTGCCGCGGGTTATAGTTGTTACAATTCGGCACTTATATGACCTTATTGTATTGCAAGTACCGCAAAACTCTTACTAAGACTAAAACAAGTTGTTACAAAACTTTTCGATAAACTTACCCTGTCCACTTTGAGCGTTGGTCTACGGGAATCGGCCGATGCAGCTCTCTGCCTCTCCACCGAGTGAGTGCGCTGTCTCTCCAACATGGCAGTAAGCTCAGGGGAGGCCAGCGACTGACGCCTCATTCGCCCATCATGAGCCACGGTGTATGTCTCGCTGTTTACTCTTTTCACCAGCTTCAGTGACAGCCAAACACAAGGAAAAAAAATTAATGAGACATAAAATTTCACAGGGTCTACATGTCCTACCTCAGAATTACAACGTTCTATCTGATGATCACTGACGTATATGATGATTATTTTTTTTTCCCGAAAGGAACATTCATGGAGCCTAAGAAAATCGCTACCTCAGAATTACAAAGTTCTATCTGACATTCTTGGCTGTTTTGAGGTACTGAGACCATACATAGGTCAGAAACCAAATGTTCTATCTGCTCTACTAAAATCAGAAGGTTATTTGAAGTCGTTATCAAGATATTCAAAGGGTGTTATAGTTTGGTTCTGGCAGAAATCTTTAAACACGATAACAGCATTGATCTTAAGATGAATCTATGCTGCTATTAAATAGAGAGTGTTTTCCTTGTTTACGGAACTTTTGCATCCACTCAACATTTTTGTGCACTCAATTACTTGGTGAAAGATATAATGAAATTTCATTTGATAAATAACAATATTGTTTGTACAATAATCTAAAGTAGAGGTACATTCTCAAACCCCGAAGTCCACAACATAGGTACATGTTGAAGATGCAGTCAAACAGTGTGACAAAACTAAATTACTAAGTGGGCGGTTGGCCGGTGCTCTAGTGTGGTTTGCTCCTTCTCTCCCATTAAACATCTATCCTCCTTACTCTCGTTCTTTTTTTGAGTATGTTTCTCTCTTGTAACACCTCTAATCTTTGGCACTTATATGACCTTATTGCGTTACAAGCAAGGGCTGTAAAACTTACTAAAACTTAACCAATCTAGATGACCAAATTTACTCACTTTCTTCATATCACTGTCTAAGACACCGCTCTTCTCATCTTTGAGGTAATCTCTATTCAATTCCTGCATGACTTTATTCGTCCACATATTTTCCTTTTCATTTTTGACTGGACGTCTCTTTTCTGCACTGCAACTATCTTCTGTCATAAGCTGAGAACCCTTCAGATACTTCTGGAGAGAGAATAGTAAAGTGGGGATGATTTGGGCAAAAAAACCACAGAGTTTATTTTTCCTAGCTTAACACTAATGCTTTTTTTATAATTAAAAGAAACATAAAAATAAAACTTCCAGTAGTCTTCAAGGAAAATGTGGGTTACCCCCCCCCC